CATGGTGGTGGTTTCTTTTGGACCTACATACCAGTGGTCCATGCAGCGGTGTTTACACACGTAGATAGGTAGAAACATAGAAGCCTACATTGATGATGTTGTCATCAAGTCAAGGAAGTTTGGAGATCTCATTCGGGACCTATCAGAGACTTTTGATAACCTCTGAAGGTTTGACATAAAGCTAAACTCGGAGAAGTGAGCTTTGGTCTTCCTTTGGGCAAATTGCTTGGATACGTTGTCTCAGCACAAGGCATCGAAGCCAACCTCATCAAAGTGAACGCTATCCTCCAAGTGGGACCAATCAAAGAGCTGAAATATGCGTAGATGCTTATGGGGTCTAGCAGCCCTAAGTTATTTCATATGGAGACTTGGCTAGAAGGGATTCCCTCTATACAAGGTCCTCTGCAAGATGACAAACTAGCTTTGGACCCAGGAAGTCCAAAAATCTCTCGATGACCTCAAGGAATTCCTCATGAACCCTCATGTCCTAGTTGCTTCACTCGACAACAAGCCACTGCTACTCTACATAGTGGTCACCACCCAGGTGGTCACTGTAGCGATAGTAGTTGAAAGGAAGAAGGGAGGGCACCTCTATCCGATTCAGCGATCGGTCTACTTCCTCATCTAGATGATCACCTAGAGCAAGACACGCTACCCGTAGATTCAGAAGATACTCTATGGGGTCTACACGGAGAATAAGAAGCTGGTCCACTATTTTGATGCGCATTTGATTACGGTGGTCACATCCTACCCCCTCAAGGAGATCATCAACAACAGAGGTGCCACCGGTCGAATAGCCAAGTGGGCGATGGAGCTCATGGCATTGCTTATGTCCCATGAACTGCTATGAAGTCACAAGCCTTGGTTGACTTCATCGCATAATGGATCGAAGCCTAGACTCCTCTGGCTCTAGTCGATTTGGAGTACAGAACATGTACTTCGATAGATCCTTGATGCTCAATGGCGTGGGGGTTGGCATCGTGCTAGTCTCTCCTAATGGGGACCGGATGAGGTACATATTATAGTTGTGCTTTGAGGGAGCTACTAACAATGTCACCGAATATGAAGCCCTCCTCGACGACCTATGATCCGTGATGCACTAAGTATCTTAAGACTTGTCATCTTGGGAGACTCCGAGCTGGTAGTCAACCAAGCGATGAAAAGACTCAGCGTGCAAGGACCCAAAGATGGATAATTCTCATTTTTCGAGGAGTCAAATGATTTGAACTTTTACCAAAGTTATACAAAAAAGTACTAATATCTATAATACAAAATAAGCATCATTAGATTAACTATAGAATGTATTTTCATAATAAACTTATTTGGAGATATAAATATTAATATTATTCACTATAAATTTGGTTAAACTTGAGCTTGTTTGACTGACACGAATCTCATAATTGCATTTTTTGGGATGGAGAGATCGGTAGTATAAACTATAAGTGAATGAAGCTTGTGTTTTGGAGGGCATTAGTTTGTGTAGAGTGCATGCGTAGGTAGACAATGGCGTGGAAGACACTAGTTTGCATGAGCCTAAGCTTCTTGCTAGTGGTTACCATAAGAAATAATCTAGAGTTACCACCACAAGTCGACCGGTTCTCGCAATCCTCTTGCCTTTTGACCACAATAAAATCAATTTATTTCACTTTAGCTTGTTGATGTTAATGTGCTCTAGCTCTCTAGCACAACTCCATGCAACTTGAGTAGGAGAAGATACATGTGGGGGAACAACACATAGTCGATGTCGCCCTTGTTAGGAGAGCATACGGGTTGCTAGTCAATATCGCATGTGGGAAATACAGGGCCGCAAACATAGTGAGTATGTGTGTGAATGGCTGTAGGGTGGCATGCAAGGAACACCATGAGAGCAATAGAGAGTCGTTGGTACCGACATATTTGCTAAGATGACTATAGGAAGAGAGTGCTAGTTTTGCAAAACCCATATCGAATATGGAAGTTTGGTAGTGACAACAATATTTTTTTCTCCAACAATGCCATTGTGCCAATCCAATCAATGCTGATTGGGAATACGATGAATCTTAGTTGACCACTGATCCAATTAAATCGATGTATCTTCAGAGAAACTTGATCTAATTTGGATAGTACTTAGGGTTCATGGATAGCACCTGAGCTTCAGCCAACTTTAGTTTCCTTTCTAATCGAATATAAATAATTTTCTCAAATTACATTCTTTTATGCTTACTTTTCCTATTGCTTAAATCATATGATAGATTACCTTCGACACGGCTTTGCTACATGCAGACAAGGTTACAAGTCAAGTGTGGGTTAGATTGAAAGAGTTGCAATTCTACAATGCTTGCCCTAAAGTTGTCGGGGGAGGAAAGTCAGGTATTGATAGCAACAATTTGTTGTTAAGATAGTGAGGTGGTAAGGCACCACTAGTTAAAGTTGTGGAAAACATGCCAATAGACATGGTCATGGTCATGGTGGCTATTTGTTAAAGTAAAGTATACCTAGTTTAACCAGGTGGAGTAATGTCATGGATCTGGCGCTAAAAATGTTGTCTGATACAGAAGGAGAAAGGAGGTTGGAGGAAATTAAAGTAGGCTCAACACGAAAGCGTTGGTGGTGGTCTCGCAGGCCAACTAGACTCCACCATGGACATATGTTGGTAACCATAGAGGTTGTTAGGGAGGTAGGAGAGAGAGGATCAAAGGAATGAGGGAGGGGGCCGGGTAAAGTACCTCGATAAAATGGCTAGAGAAAAAGAAGACATCTGTTAGCATTGGTCTGAATTTATATATGTCTAGGTAGATTCGTTCTTTTGTGAAAACCACCATTTTCTGATACATGGGATGTACGTGCTTATTGCCGCTATTACAACTGTAAAAGATAGGAAGTGATGTTTGAGCAACAACCAAATCAAATATGCTATGTTGAAATTGCAGCCGGCCGAAAAGGGTATGTCAGGGTTTTTTCCGGCCAACTCTTGCCAATTGCCTCTTGCACTCCAGTCCAGTTTCAGAAAAAAGCTAGCCGTGGATGTAGACCGCGTGGTCCAGCATTTTGACCGAAATCCGAGCTGGCGCCTCGCCGAGCCCCGCAATCATTGGAACAAAAATCGTGGCTCTCTGCGCGCTTGGAGCAAAACCCCTGCGTCATCACTCAGCCGGAACACCCGGCCTCGACCTCGACCCTTTGCGTGACGCCTTTTGTGTTGTTGACCCGGAGTAAACCTCATTTTGCATTAGAGTCCCCAGAAATGTAAGTACATGGTTTGTGAAAACAAAGATATACAAGGGCCATAAAGGAAAAGAAAGCACTTCTAAAACATGCATGGGAATTAGCGAGAGGATTCAATTTATCAAAACCAAAAACAATCAGTGATGTCTTGGAAGTTCGAAATTTAGTAGGCCTCTAGCTATTATTCTTCCGAGGATGGGAAGGGAATTGGACATAGTTAATTGACTCGTAACGGTGCAATATGGCAAAGTTTGGGGGCGAATCTATATTGTTTGTTGTGGATGCGGCGACACCCAAGCTCAAACCAAAATTTTTATATGGTTATCATATATTACCATTGGCATCAATAAAATTATATAGTGTTGAATCCCCTATTTTGCTCTAACTCTGCCTCCGAGCAAAGTCCAATATATACATTCACAAAGTGTTCACGAAAGGCTCGAGGGTTGTAGTTGGTAACCGCAGTTCTGTATGAATGCATTCCTACATGATATGTTCTTATCCGATAACGGAAGTTTTGTCAAAACCTCATTCATGTGGTGCTAAATCTGCACGACGATACAACCTGTACCCACGTGTGTATGAATGCGTTGCAACGTGATATGTTCTCGATCGATAACCAAAGTTTCTCGTAAGAACCTCATTCACACGATTGCTAAATCTGCACGCTGATACAATTTATACCCACGTGAAGATAAATGCGTCTAAAAACATGGTTTGTTTTGGTTTTTCCGATTACATTCACATTTGGTAACCCGTGGTTCTCATTGAATGCGATGCTACATAATATGTTCTCAACCGATAACCGAAGTTCCGTGAGAACCTCATCCACGTGGTGCTAAATCCGCACGGCGATACAATTTGTACCCGTGCGCGAATCATTGTGTGTAAAAACATGCTTTGTTTCGGTTCTTCCAAATAAGATACCAACCAGAAGCTAGGTGTTTGAGTTAGAATTGATTCAAAACTTCATGGACAACAAATCATACCTAGAGATATATCAAACCCATACAACTCATTGTTGGTCATTGAGGACTACTCCCTCCGTTCTAAATTATAAGACTTTTTACTTTTCTACATACATTGTTTTTATAATATATCTAGATATAGTGTATATCTAAGTGCATAGAAAAATTCATAAATCGCACATTTGTCACTTTTCCCCTTAGAAATGTGGAAATGATAGAAAAAAGAGAAACGGATTTTCTGGATAAGCGAAAAGACACGAGCTTTCTCGATTAACTTACACATGTGATTGAATGAGTGATCTGGGGACGAGTGTACGAGGACCGCGTCCACGAAATCCCCAGCACGCCATCACGCCCACGTCAGCGCCTGTGCCTTGCCGCAGTCCTCATCGCACTCGCCCAAACGAAACCCAGCACTGGACGGACAAGTTCCACCGGCCGACATGTGGGACCTACCTCGTTGAACCCACCTGTCAGTGAAGTTACCCGGATAACGCGGCGTAACTTTGAGCTCCCCCTCGCATGTCCCTCGTTTACCAGTGGAACAATTTTTGGGGTCGGACTCCGCACGCAAGCCTCGCCAAAGTTTTTAACCCCCGCCCCCCCACCCACCCCCCCACCCCCAGGCTTGAAAAAACACTGGTAAAAAAAAACAAGAGAGAGAAATCTCTCTCTCGCTTCCCGTCGGAGAGGAGCGGTGGCCGAGCTGTCCCGGCGGCGCAAGCTGAGCGAGGTCCTGGCGGCGTCGTCAGCTCAGGGGGTGGCGCAGTGGTAACCTGCGCGCGTGCGTGGTTTTGGCTGCCGGGAGGAGGGTCGGGCGTCGGCGGGATGGCGGCGTCCCTGAGGTGCTGGTGCTGGTGGTGGTGGTCGGCGGTGGTATTGTCTGTGGTGGTCGGCGTGAGCCCTGTTGTCGCCAACACGGAGGGTATGCGTACGCCACTGCTTCATGTAATTTGTGCTTTATTTTCTTCAAGGTTTGATCAGCAGCCCACAGCGGAGCGAATTTCCTTTAGGGGGGATAATGACTGAAAATCTGGGGATGGTGTCCAGAAATCTAGTGTTTGTTAGCGTTCTACAAGCCTCTGTTGATGGGCGGGGACTGAACAGGGGATGAAACGATAGCCTATGGTTCCCATTTCCAGCGCTTTGACTGATTGGAGTGATTGCTTTGGGGGCCGGGGTGTTTGTCTCTCCTAGTGTTTTGTCATTTTGTACTATACGGCAATGTTTGGATGACAGGCGTTGTTTTGTAACATCTGGAAAGGGGTTGGTTGCACAAACCTGGAAGGCAATTCGTTCTGGAACAAATGCAGTCTATGCACAGAAGTGTAGATTCTGCTTTCTACTCCTGTCAGCGTCTAGAACTATTTTGGGCCTCAAGGTTCCAAAGGAACTATTTTAGGCTCTGTCGAAATTGTTGCCTTTAAGTTTTTTCTATGAAGGTGCATATGCAGGGCTTATTTTTTTCTGATGCAAAACTTTGGTCTTTGATTCACTACTACACAGTAAATTTTCATTCCATTTCACCATTGAATCTGAACTAAGATGATCGTTTTTGTTTATTTGGCTAAAGATAGCACATTAGTACTCATGGAAGCTGGAGGAAAGAAATTCTGATTACTGAACCTTTTTCTGTTTGGGTTGGGAGGTGGGGAGATCACTATACTTAGTTATAATTGTCTCATTAATTTGTTCAGGCATCGTAGATATGGACTGATATATTAAAGGTTCGTTGTTAACGAACAACCTGTACTTGCTATCTAAATAAAGCGGTGCCATTTAGAATGAACTGAACCTACATAACGGAAGAAAAAATGAATGCATCCGTTACTTTCTTAAAAACTGAGCGTCCTACGGACTTGCGAATTAATTGTGAAGAATCGGAAAGCATGGCTTAATCATTAAGAGTGCATTGTTCAGAGTGTTTTTTTTATCATCTTCCTAGTACACGTGTGGAAAGAAACTGCATTGTCTTAAATGCTAGTGATTTTTACATGTTGGCTGTATCCTTGAAATGGATAGTAACGTTTGGGTATGTACTCATGATTAAAAGACGATACTACCAAAGTAACTGAACCCGTATAAGAGTAATTACTACTCTAGATGCTAGTCATATTGCGTTGAATCCATGATGCTTTACATTTGATACGCTTTTTTTACCTATTGAAAAGGGTATTGTCTGCCGAAATAAAAGATGTGCATAAGTCAAAATAAAGACAAGCGTTTAACCACATATAAGAACATTACTATATTAACGGCATATTAATGAAGGGCAAAGCTTATGCATCCTCTTAAATTTCTAATGGGTAGATTATTGCTTATTGTGATGATACCTCAATGGCAGGTGATGCTCTATACAGCCTACGACAAAGCCTGAAAGATAACAACAATGTACTGCAGAGTTGGGGTCCAACTCTGGTTAATCCATGTACATGGTTCCATGTTACATGTAACCCTGATAACAGTGTCATCAGACTGTAAGTTGATCAAAGATCTTTTTGTTTATTCTCCCTTTGAGGTGAAAGACTGACCATTTGAATATGTACTGTCTCCCTTTTGCTAGTGATCTTGGAAATGCACAACTATCAGGTCCGTTGGTGCCACAGCTTGGGCAATTGAAAAATATGCAATATCTGTAAGTTTCCACATCCATGATTTTGATAATTGAGCTAATAGTTTCAAGATGCGATATAGGTGCATCTTTCAATCCCAATATTGGTTTAGCATAATTGCTTAGTTTTTGTGGAGCTGCTGAAACATGTGTGCATGCTTTTGGGTGCATTATGTCTCCTTTTGTCTGACGCCCAACAGTTCTCACTTCTCTTACTATTTCTTACCGTATATATTTTCCAATAAATATATAGGTTGCCTTCGTGTTGAATTTATGTTTCATCATTTTGCAACAGAGAACTTTACAGTAACAACATAAGTGGGCCAATACCACCTGAACTGGGGAACTTAACTAACCTGGTCAGTTTGGATCTGTACCTCAACAACTTCACTGGAGGCATTCCTGACACCTTGGGCCAACTATCAAAGTTGCGGTTTCTGTAAGTTAATTCAATTGCTCTGGTTACAGAAGTGATATGTTCATGTGGCATTGTCCATCAATATATGTTGATCCTGTTAGTATAAATTATCTGATTGTTATTCGGTCATGATTTATCTGACAATGATGTGGAGAAATAGAAAGTTCTTACAGAACAGTAATATATGCATGATGTGCCCAACAATAGGTTTGCACAAAGTTATCCTCCAAATGCACTCTTCACGTTGTGTTAGTAGATACTAAGGTTTTCATAACATCAATCATTCACTTGTCCATTTGTGTCTTTTTCTTTTGATTTTTAAAGTGAAAGGCAAAATCCATTGTCTAGTTCTTGCCTTGTTACTTATTACATTATCTCTAAGCTTATCTATTGACTATTGGAAAGATTGTAACGTTTTTATTTCTTTGGATATCTACTTCCAAGGACAGCCGTCTTAATAACAACAGTCTTTCTGGCCAAATTCCGAAAACGTTGACCAATATCAACTCTCTCCAAGTTCTGTAAGTTACCTGTTGCCCTTTTATACATCATTACAGCTGTTCAGGATGTTAGATAACAGCAAAAAGTGTTTTGACAATCTTGCAGGGATCTCTCAAACAACAATCTCTCAGGAGGGGTGCCATCAAGTGGTTCATTTTCTCTGTTTACACCTATAAGGTAATTTCTGGATGAATTTGGATGCTTAATTGCATCTTTTGATGCAGTTCTCCTGCCAGTTGAAAACAAAAACCTGTGTCTTCTGATGTTGACAATTCTAACCTTTTTGTTACAGTTTTGCTAACAACCCAAATCTTTGTGGCCCTGGTACTACAAAGCCTTGTCCTGGGGCTCCTCCCTTTTCCCCACCCCCTCCATACAATCCCCCATCACCAGCTTCATCAAAAGGTACGGTGATTGGCTGTATATTCTGTCATATCATGCTACTGTTTGAGATATGCATAAGAGCGAAGCACTGACATGATCAAACTATGGTACATGACATATCCTAACTGTGTCAATTCTGTTCCCTCAGGCGTGTCCAGCACTGGAGCAATTGCTGGAGGCGTTGTGGCTGGCACTGCATTTCTGATTGCTGTGCCTGCTATTGGATACGCATTGTGGCGGAGGCGAAAACCCGAAGAGCAATTCTTTGATTGTCAGCCCCTTGATCTCCGGCACGGAGTTATCCGACCACTCACTAGTGTTGCCGAGCACACACTAGCGATGCCGACCATGAACTGTCGTTGGCTATCACACACTATGGTTAGGGGTAGAAGACGGGAGGGAGAACAGAGCACACACAGTACAAGCACCAGCGTTGATCGGAGCTCTGCAGAGGAGATGGCGGAACTGAACTCGCTCTCTTTACTGAGTTGCAGTGGCAAACTATATATACAACTCTAACCATCTAATCCTAATACACAGACATGTCAGGCTAACATGTTGCTACAGTGACTAGATGTGACAGTAGAGTTGACTTTGGCGCTTGCCAGGTGAGCCGTTCGGCGCCTGCTTCTGCAGCGGCTACAGTGTCACAGCAGGGAGCCTTTTCGGCGCCGCCTTCCCTTGCTGTGCGTTCACACAAGGGAGCAGTAGATTAGTTAACAATTCTTCCTCTAATCCTGCTGCTAACTCTTGAACCCCTTTTATGCCGATCATCTCCTTCAGCTCCGTGAACCGAAGACGACCGAGCGGCTTGGTGAGGACGTCCGCGAGTTGTCGACCAATTTCGACGAACTCGATGACGATCTGCCCTTCATCGACACAGTCCCTGAGGAAGTGGAACTTGACGTCGATGTGCTTGCTCTGGTCGTGGAGGACCGGATTCTTCGCAAGGGCGATGGCGGGCTGGTTGTCTACCATCAGTGCTGGTGGGTGAGCTTCCACCCCGGTCAAAAAGACAAGCACGCCAGAGGTGCTCCGTCGTCCGTCGATGTCCCCCGCCTTGTCTGCATCGCTGAACACAATGAGCTGTAGCCTACTTCCGTCGGTCTTGGGGAAGACGATCTCCTGATCCACCGTCCCCTTGACGTAGCGCAGCAACCGCTTTACCGCAGCCCAGTGATCCTCTCGAGGATCCTCCATGAAACGGCTGATGTAGCTCACGACGAACACAATGTCCGGCCTCGTGTGGACTAGGTAGCGCAGACCGCCGACGATGCTCCGATAGAGTGTTGCATCTATCTTCGCCGCGGTACTGGCCTTCGTTAGCTTCAGCCGCTCCTCCATCGGAGTCACCCATGACTTACACTCCGCCATGCCGCTTCGCTCCAACAGCTTCGAGGCATACACGCTCTGATCGAGCGTGAGCGCCTCCTTTCCCTGTCTCACCTCGATGCCGAGGTAGTAGGAGAGCGCGTCGAGATTGCTTATTCGAAAACGAGCAGCCATCTCGGGCTTGAAGCTGTCGATGTCCTTCGCACGCGAGCCGGTGACGATCAAATCGTCCACATATACGCCGACGACGAGCTCCTCCTTGCCCCGTCGCCGCGTGTAGAACGCGTGCTCTGTTGCGCACCGTGTGAACCCAAGCTCGCCTAGTGTAGTGTCAAGCTTGACGTTCCACACTCGCGGGGCCAGCCGCAGCCCGTAGAGCTCCTTGCGCAGTCGGAGCACCCTGTGCTCCGCTCCCTTGACGGCGAAACCCGGAGGTTGCCTGACGAAGACCGTCTCCGCCAGCTCGCCATTGAGGAAGGCCGATTTTACGTCCAGGTGATGGACGCGCAGTCCTTCGCTGCTCCCAAAGCCAGAAGCAGTCAGACAGACTCCATACGCGCTACCGGCGCAAAGACTTCCTCGAAGTCGATGCCCTCGCGCTGGACAAAGCCTCGGGCGATGAGGCGCGCATTGTGCTTGACAATGGCGCCGTGTTCGTCCCGTTTGACCTTGTACACCCACTTCAGGCCGATCGGACGGCATCCTGGAGGTGGATCGACGAGCTCCCAAGTCTCGTTTTCCTCGATCGCCTTCATCTCCTCCAGCATCGCCTGTCGCCAGTTTTCATCGTGCTCGGCTAGCGCGAACGTGAGTGGTTCCTCTGCACTGACGAGAAGCAACTCTGGGTCATTAAGCAGCCGACCCGCCAGGCCTAAGGGTCCTGTGCCGCCGACGATGTCGTCCAACTTGCAGAACCGCACCTCCTCACCGTCGGGGAAGGCATCCACGAACTCAGTGATGTCACTTGGAGGTGAGGCGAACTCGATCAGCCGCGATGGAGTTCCCTGTTTCGCTGGAGTGGTCTGCACAGCACCTGGAGTGCTCGACATCCCGGCTGCAGTGATCGGCACTACTTCTGGACTACTTGTCACCACTCCTATAGTGGTCGGCACCACTGCAAAAGTGCTCGGCACCAGTCTTGAAGTGGTCGGCACCACTGCAAGACTGCTCGGCTCCGCTATGGGAGCGTTCGGCACCCGTCCTGGAGTGGTCTACACCACTGCAGGACCGCTCAACACCACTCCTGGAGTGCTCGGCACCCCTCCCGGAGTGCTCGGCACCGCCCAGAGTGCTCGGCTCTGTCGCTGGAGTGGTCGGCACCTCCTCTCCAGTATCTCCACCACCGTGAATGATCAAGTGCTCGATGACGAAGGTGCTGGTAAAGCTACCAGCTTCCCCTGTGCTCGGACAGTTCTAGTCCTAGGTCGCTTTCTCGTCAAACACGACGTCGCGCGAGACAATCACCTTTTCTCCGCGTGGGTCATAGAGCCGGTACGCCTTGGTACCTTCCGCGTAGCCCAGGAACACCATCGGTGTGCTCCTGTCCTCCAGCTTGGTGAGGACCGGCTTCGTCTTTCTGACGTGGCCGATGCAGCCGAATGTCCGAAGAAAGGACACGCTCGGCTTGCGCCCATACCAAGCTTAGAACGACGTCTTGCCCTTCAAGGCCTTGGTGGGCGCGCGGTTGAGGATGAACACCGCCGTGGTCACCGCCTCACCCTAGAACCTTGCTGGCATACCCTTGGCCTTCATCATGGATCGAGCCATGCCGACCACCGTCTGGTTCCGCCGCTCCACCACGGCATTCTGTTGTGGCGAGTACGGCGCGGTGTGGTGTCGCACTACACCCTGATCCGCGCAGTACGCAGCGAATTCCACCGAAGTGAATTCGCCGCCGCGATCAGTTCTCAGCACGCGCAGCTTCTTGCCGCTCTCCGCCTCCGCGCGTGCCTTGAACTTCTCGATCGCCGCCGCCGCCTCGTCCTTGCTCGTCAGGAGTTGCAGCCACATGTAGCGATTGCAATCATCCACGAGCAGGAGGAAGTATCGCCGACCACCGTTTGTGGCTGGCGTGATCGGCCCGCAGAGATGGCCGTGGACGAGCTTGAGAGCGTTCGTCGCGTGATACTTAGCCGCCTTTGAGAACGGCAGCCTCCTCTGCTTCTCTGCTAGGCAGCAGTCACACAGCTCGCCTCCGTGCTTGATGTGGGGCAGTCCTCGGACCATCTTCTCCAGCCGACCGAGCGCGTCGAAACTGAGATGGCCGAACCGAGCATGCCATAGCCATGGCTCCTTAGTGTGCCGTGCTGCCAGGCACACCGGCTGCTCCACCTTCAAGTCGAGCAGGTACAAACGGTTCTGGGACCTCTTCACCTTGACAAGAAGGCGCTGCTCCCGGTCCCTGATCCTAAGGACGCCGTCCTTGATTAGTACCTCGCTACCGCGCTCATCCAGCTGGCCAATGCTGATGATGCTCGATCGCAGCTGCGGGATGTAATATACATCCGTTAGCGCGCAGTGCTCGCCGTTCTGGCACCTAAAGATGATGGCGCCGCGCCCTCGGATTGCCACCCTTGAGCCGTCACCGAACTTCACCGTGCCGGTCACGTCGTCGTCGAGCTCGGAGAAGGTTGCATTGGAGCCAGTGGCGGATATAAGCCTAGGGCCACTGTGGCCACGGCCCCAGGCGTTGGGCCGGTTTCTCTACACTGTAGCACACTGTTCCAAAGAGGCCCAATTAATCTACCAAAATGAGTCCATGGAGTGGCCTCAGACGTTGGGTCAGCCCAGCTCCGCCACTGATTGGAGCCCGTCATGTGGTTGCTGGCACTGGAGTCCAGATACCACCGCTACTCCTGCTCGCCGCCCACACGTCCGAGGTGGACTTAGGCGCGCGGTTCGTCGAGGTTGACAGCCTTCAGGGCATTCCCAGACCCTTCCACCGCCATCACCTCTTCCTTCTCCTCGGCCTCAACGTCGTGCAGTGCACAGAACGTCGCCATCAGGATAGTGGCCTCATCATCATCATCAGCCTGCGCCAGATGAGCTTCAGCCTTCTTCTCCTGCTTACGATTTGGGCAGTCCCTTGCCCAATGGCCCGTCTTCCCGCAGCGCCGGCAGACGTTGGGGTCGACCTTCTTCTTCGAAGAAGCTTTGCTGCGGCGCTTGCCATCGCCACCGCGGCTGGAGGAGGCTTCCCCGGAGTTCTTCCGAGGAGCCCACTCCTCTTCTGTCAGCAGCAGCTTGCCGCTGTGCTTCGTTGATGTGGCCTGCTCCATGCGCTTGTCCGCCGTCCGCAGACGGCCTATCACATCCTCAATGGTGAGGGTGGACAAGTCCAGCATCGTCTCTATGGTAAGAACGATCTGGATGTACTTCACCGGCACGAAGTGGAGGTACTTGGAGACCGCCTCTTCTTCGTTGATGGTGACGCCATGGCTCCTCAGCTTGCTGATGAGCGTCTGCAGGCGGAGGGAGAAGTCCTCCACCGATTCACCATCCTTGAACTTGAGGTTGGCGTATTCCTGGGCCGTTGCCTTCTTTGCGCGGTCGGAACCGACGCGCATCGCCGCAATGGCCTCACACGCCTCCTTAGCAGAGCTCTTCGCCCTCAATGGCTCCCTGTACTCCGCCGGTACAGCAGCGAGGATAGCCTCCAACGCTGACATGTCGTCTTCTTCGTTTTCGGTGCCTTTGTCAACAACATTTCAGAGTCGTCGAGCTCTGAGCTTGACCTTCATGGTCACCGACCACTCGCTATAGTTGGTGTAAGTCAGCGTCGGCCAGCTGGTGCCGTTGACCTCCCGCACCGTGCGCACAACGACCTCCTGTTGTTGCTGGCCAGCCACAGCAGCACCGCTGCTGTCGCCCATCTCCAAACCGTCCGTCATCGCCAGCGGTTAGTCTGGCGACGACGCTTGTACGGCTCCGATACCACTTGTCAGCCCCTTGATCTCCGTCACGGAGTTATCCGACCACTCACTAGTGTTGCCGAACACACACTAGCGATGTCGACCACGAACTGTCATTGGCTACCACACACTATGGTTAGAGGTAGAAGACGGGAGGGAGAACATAGCACACACAGTACAAGCACCAGCGTTGGCCGGAGCTCTGCAGAGGAGATGGTGGAACTAAACTCGTTCTCTTTACTGAGTTGTAGTGGCAAACTATATATACAACTCTAACCATCTAATCCTAGCACACAGACATGTCAGGCTAACATGTTGCTACAGTGACTAGATGTGACAGCAGGGCTGACTTTGGCGTCTGCCCCTGCTGTGGCTACAGTGCGGCAGATGAGCCGTTCGGCGCCACTTCCCCTGATGTCGCTGGTCGGTATTATATACCACTGTGCAGTTGTTGTCATCTGTGCTATTCATTTCATTTATATGCTCTCCTTTCGATTCAGCTGAGGATCCTGAAGTTCACCTTGGACAACTCAAGAGGTTTTCACTGAGAGAGCTTCAAGTCGCCACAGATAATTTTAACAATAGGAATGTCCTAGGAAGAGGTGGTTTTGGAAAGGTGTACAAAGGGAGACTGTCGGATGGTTCACTGGTAGCGGTGAAGAGATTAAAGGAGGAGCGCACCCCTGGCGGAGAGCTCCAGTTCCAAACAGAAGTTGAATTGATTAGCATGGCAGTGCGCAGGAATCTGCTTCCGCTCCGTGGATTCTGCATGACTCCTACAGAGCGGTTGCTAGTATATCCATACATGGCTAATGGGAGTGTCGCGTCGCGCCTTCGAGGTACCTTATTCTTTCTCACCGCTCAAATCTGTTCTTCTGCATTTAATTGAAAACAAAGTGCTAGAAATTTGTGTCAAAAGCATGTAACCATTTTTACTTTCGTTTCTCTCTGTTTTCTGTAGTCCAACTTTAGTTTGCATATTTCTGATTTCATTCCTGATGCTTTGATTTTGTATAGAACGCACGCCAAATGATCCCCTCTCGAATGGGAAACAAGGGCCAGGATCGCGCTGGGATCAGCCAGAGGTCTCTCTTACTTGCACGACCACTGTGATCCCAAGATCATTCACCGCGACGTGAAAGCCGCCAACATCCTGTTGGACGAAGACTTTGAAGCCGTCGTGGGTGACTTTGGCCTCGCCAAGCTCATGGATTACAAGGACACCCACGTGACGACTGCTGTACGTGGGACGATCGGACACATCGCCCCCCGAGTATCTCTCCACCGGAAAGTCCTCTGAGAAGACGGACGTCTTCGGCTACGGGATCATGCTCCTGGAACTCATCACTGGGTAGAGGGCGTTCGACCTCGCTTGTCTCGCGAATGATGACGATGTCATGCTCCTTGTCTGGGTAAGTAAAGTACTGCACTGCAGACTGCAGTACACCATGAGGCATGAGCTGGCTTCGTTAAATGCTTGAAACCTGTGAAAGGAATGGAAAGAAATGAAGAAGCTGGTGTTATTGTCGTGGTTGCAGGTGAAGGCGCTGCTGAAGGAGAAGAAGCTGGAGCAGCTGGTGGACCCGGACCTGCAGGGCCGGTACGCGGACCAGGAGGTGGAGTCGCTGATCCAGGTGGCGCTGCTGTGCACGCAGGGGTCCCCGATGGAGCGGCCCAAGATGTCGAAGGTGGTGTGGATGCTGGAGGGCGACGGGCTGGCGGAGCGATGGGAGCAGTGGCAGAAGGTGGAGGTGATGCGGCAGGAGGCAGAGCTCGCCCCGCGCCACAACGACTGGATCGTCGACTCCACCTACAACCTCAGGGCCGTCGAACTTTCCGGCCCGAGGTAGGCGATGACTGATGCGGGGGTAGATGATCGTCGAGGAGCTGAAAATTCCTTGTCTGTGAATATGACAGCAGGTAGTTTGGTGGTTGGTCCTGGATGATAGCTGCGAAAATTGTAGCTGAGGCCATGTTTAGATTGCAAAAAATTTCAACCCGATGAATAGTAGCACTTTCGTCTTATTTGGTAAATATTGTCCAATCGTGGACCAACTAAGCTCAAAAGATTCATCTCGTGATTTTTAACTAAACTGTGCAATTAGTTATTTTTTTATCTACATTTAATGCTTCATACAAACAGCTAAAAATTGACGTGATGGAGAGAGAGTGAAAAAACTTGGAATTTGGAGGTGATCTAAACAAGGCCTGAAATTGTGTACTCGTGTTCTCACCGACTTCTGTAAGTTTTGGTTTTTTTTATATTATTAGAAAGCAGTATGACACCAGCCTCTGTTGAGCTCAGTGATAGTATTTATAGGATCATCTAGACGTAGTTCAATGGATAAAAACTTAACTTAGATGAGGAGACTTGCTGATATACCTCACCAAAGGGCGATCGCGGCGGTCATGGCGCTGCCAACGAGGAAGCAGCGACATGACCTCGAGTGTCGAGGAAGCCATGCAGGCACCCGCTAGGTTGTCGATGATAGCAGCAGCGTAGGTGCGGACCAGTGGCGACGGTGAAGACGGTGTGGACTTCCCGTCGCTTACAGCGCGCCCTTTTAGATCGAACTAGGGCTAGAAAACTCGGTGGGGCGCTGACGGCTATGGTGAACCTCGTGTCTTGCGTCCAGGCCCCCACCTTCCTCTTTATAGCGCCGCGCGACGGTGGCCCATCAGTTAGGAGAACGGTTGGGCCCCCTGATCGAGACGCGGATCAAGGTCAATTAGCTGTTGGCCAACCGGTGGATCTAACACTCAGTAGTTTAATGGTAGTAGCTGCTTTTCGTTTTTGCGATGGCGTCCATAGCAGCCAGCACGTCGTTGTGGTGGCTGCTCTTGGTGACGCTCCGAACAGCGGGGTGACGAGCGTACGAGTTAGAGAGAGCAGTGACCTGCCGACTGTATCGTGCTGGGCGGCAGGCATAGCGCAGCACTGCTGCGGTGGGCGCGCGCGCTCAGGCTGTCAGGCACGCATCGGTGGTAGACAACCACTCAGCCGCTCACCGATAAACAAGTCCACTGCTACTCCCACTGTACATCCATGCTGTGCGCTGGTCAGGCTATATCTGAACGTGCTCGATTTAACCGTCACATTTTTCTTCTTCTTCTCATAAGGTACGGCGGCCAGGACCCCAGGATCAGGATGAATAATGCAACGTTGTTTCACCAGAAATGGACCATGCAATTAGCAACAGCGTCTTGCAGCGCAGGCAGTCATCACAAGAACACAACCTACAGGCTACAGATAAGGTCCTGTTCGCAGCGTGAGAGTTCTTGTGTTTCCAACGGGCCTTGAGCAAGAGCAAAGATAGAACGTAGAAGTACACCACTGACAGAGAACAATGGCTACCCATATACAGTACAACACTGACGAGCGTCCCTGACATCACATAGGTTTACATGCCAAGCAAAGAACAGAGAACGAGAACAAAAGGTTTGGCGCAAATGCCTAGCGAACTGCTGACCAAAGGGGGGCAAAAAGAGCTGGGGATATGATCCATCCATCCATGTCCATGCATGAGCAGCCGTGAGTCGTGTAGGCTAGAGGGAGGGCACCCGAAAGAACCTGCCGCGGCACATGCAGCGGTAGGCGATGGGGCAGGACTCGGAGGCCAGCGCGCACCTGAAGCTCACGATGACGCGCCGGCACGGGGAGCACGGCCCGCACGCGTGCGCGCAGTCCGGCAGCCGCGACCCCGTCGCCGCGCGCTCCTTCAGCCACCACTGCTGATCCTCCTCCACTACCACCAGCGAGCCTTCTTCGTCCTCGGTCCGGTCTGCTGGTTTGTAGGTTGCCCTGCTGCTGCTTGCGTGAAGAGCACCAGCAGCAGCCGGTGCCTCCCGTCGAGTACGCCGGCGTCACCTGGACCGGACGCACCTGCGCGTTTTACACGGAGAAGACGAACCATTGTCAGATCCCTGTTTGTTGTTTCAGTTGCACAGTGAGTAAACAGGTTGCATTGTAGGAACAAGAAAAGAACGTCAGCGCGCGTGTTCAGATGCCACGTGTGCTGTCATGCCGTCTGATTGATGGTAGCGGAGGCGAGCGACGTCGACCCGACACGTCAGCAGTACCTAGTACGGTTCATGTAGTATGTACTCTACAGTACGTCGGACCGACACTGCTGCAAGTTATGTTGTTCGAGCTTTTCCAAGTTCTGAAACATGAAAGCTGACAGCATTGAACTGACAGAGGGGAAAATAGTTACACAGCTCAGATGATCAACTTACGTGGTGTCGTTCTGACGCCGTCGGCAACGTGCGACGACGACGACGAACTGATGACCAGCAGGAGCACCAACACGACCGCTGCTGGGGTCGGAGTTGGAGCCCACCATCTCCGGCAATTACCAGAGGACTCCCGCATTCTCATTTCTCTCTTCCTAGTAGGAGCTCTGGTTTGACGAGCTAGCAGAAAGGCAAGAACACAATACGCCAAGGAGAAACACAGCAAGCTACCGATCGAGTTCGGAGGGGACGCTCTGCACTCTGCTTGCATGTGGCTATATAGGACACAGCAGGTGCATCAGAGCTTGGTGGAAGTGGCCATAAATAACTGGATGCATGCGCCGGCCGGGCGCTCGCTCACAGGATCCCCGGTTGGATTCACATGGAAACCCTTGCGCCGGCTCAGGCAGGGAAATCGACTGAGCACACGAAGACGACGATGCCGACAGCAGGCGACAACGAGGGCGGGCGACCAGGAGTTGTATTAGATGTGGCCGTATGAAGGTCGTGCGTGCTCGCACGCCTGCGCGCGAGGGGAAGCAATGGCGCGGAGGGGCATGCCTCGCTGCATATTTATGGCTGGCTAGCTTGGCTCAGCTCAGAAACGCCGGGCGCGCCTCGCAGCGCGAAGCAGTTATTATGGCTGGCGCGCGTCATCGTCATCTCGGAGCGTTCTCTAGCACGGTGCAGCAGCGCATGCATTTCGATGGCCCCCGTGGCCACACAAGATGTGTCGGGAGGACGTTGCACGGAGTATTTGGATACTAATAAAAAAACAAATTACATAATCCATCAGTACTTTCTACGAGACGAATTTTTTAAGTCTAATTAATCCATCATTAGCACATATTTACTGCAGCACCACATTGTCAAATCATGGACTAATTAGGCTTAAAAGATTTGTCTCGCAAATTAGTCACAAACTATATAATTAGTTTCATAATTAGTATATATTTAATACTCCATACACGTGTCCAAATATTCGACGGGAGATCGACTAAAATTTAGGACCCTTATACTACGGTTGTGCTGCCGTTCTGCTCTGCTCCTGCTCTCAAGAAGTTCTGAACGCGCGTACAAAAAATATTCTTCTGCCAGCACGGTTTGGTTTGGTTTGGTTAATGAACAGATCCAGTCAAGCTGAATCGCTCGGCATCAATGCATCTGCGAGCTGCCATTCAATGGCAGCACGCACGCAAGCTGCATATATAAATACTGCTGTAATGGACCGGCTATTACGATGCCGACGTGTCTGATTCAGGTGGGATAGATACATGCCATTTTGTGCGTAAGGACCGATCGATCCAACTGGACGTGGACATAAAATACGATCTATGTAGCCTAAACACACGAAGAGAACGGGGTAAAATCTTGGGATAGATGAGTATTGGACGTTCGATGGGAAATTCAAAACCTATAATAACTACTTAAAATTGCTTTATCTTTGCACATAAGCTCTCTCACTACCCATCTGGTAACAAGATACATGTTAGATACTCTGTGATCTATGTTTAGTTAGTTGTGTGTCTTCAACACCCACATTTATAGTTTCCCTCTTTGTCGATTCTTGTGTCTTCAATATGTGCGTCTAATTGAAACCTTATTAGCTCATGTCAGCTTTTCTCGTGACCTCAGTCTAGATATTGACTTTCAAATATTCATCTTTTAGTTTATGTTATTTTCTATCCACATGTGTTAAGTTAAAAACCTGAAACCCTAATAATTATTATATCTTTTGTTAACTGTCCTTTTGTATATTGTTAAAGAATAATCCTAAGTCCTAGACTATACTACTCTTTCGGCGAGGCAGTCAGAAGTGTGCTTTTGTCACAACGAGACCATTAAGCATATTGTCTTTGAAAGTTGTTTTGCATAGGTAATTTGGGGCTGCATACAAGTTGTGTTAAAGACTAGAACGGTCACTAGCTTTGATAGTTCTAGGATTAAACGAAGCTTAAAATAAAAAAATGAGGAATGAAATTGACATTTTGAAAGTGCATGGACTAAACTAAACCTTAGGCGATAGATGGGGGACAAAAATGACTATTCTGTCAAATTAAATAGTTGATGTAGAATCTTAGAACCATTGTAACAGCTCAGACACATTAGAGCAACTCGAATAGTTGGCTACCCAAAAATCATAGTTTTGGGGGTTGGAAAAGAGTATTGAGTGGAAAAGATATAATTGTAAGGCTTTGAAGCGACCGTGACGCCTAAGAGGGGAGGTGTGAATTAGGCAACTTAAAATTCAACTTCTAAATTATGGCATCTTTTTCTACCCTTAGCAAAACCAATGTAAAAGATAAACTATCTAAATGTGCAACTACGATTTTGCTAGTGTGTTGCTATCTCTACCGCAAAAGGAGTAATACAATCAATATAAATGCGGAAGCTAAAGAGCAAGATAGAGATATGCAAACTCCCGTCGACGACTTCGGTATTTTTTCCGAGGTATCAAGAAGCGCGCAAGTTTCCCCCTAGTCCTCGTTAGAGCCCCTCGCAAGGAATCCCTCGCAAGGGCCAAGCTCCCAGTCGGGTAACTCCGTGGATAGCCTCGGGCCTTCCCCACGCGCAAGTGGGTCTCCGACGTGCCTTCCGGCAAGCCTCTCCCGGATGC